CAGCGTACAATACCTCGCCGGTGGCCCCGATCACAAACACATGCAAGGGTAAGTCAATTTTAACAATGATCAATCAACTCCATTGAATTGTCGTAGAAAGAGCAAGCTCGATTGAAACTAAAACTATGAAATGTATACACCAAACCACAGATCATAATCGTGACACATCCCACGACATTGTGAGCTCTACTTATTATGAACGGGAAAGATTTGAATGTATACCGCTGTCTTGTAAATACATTGTAAATGTATGTCTTTGTCAGCCTCACTATGCTATGTTTTGTAGTGTTGTTCAGTTCAGATCAGTTTAGATTCTGAACTGAACTGTGCTCGCAATTCTCTACTGTGTTTCATGGCGCCTAAGATATCGAAAGAATGTACTTATGTACACTGAAATATAATGCTGTTAAGAATGTATTGATGCATTGCATGTGAGATAATGGGGACTTAATGTTCTCAGGCGTTTTATAAGCTAGTGGTAGCCAACGTTACAGATAACACAATTAGTCAATTCAGACATAACATAACAAGATATAAACATATCAACTTTTGCTAAATTGTCTTCAGAGGTCCTTATTTTCGGTTGTGCTAAAATTAAGAAAAGAAGGAAGCTTACTTTAAATGAAATTTTTTGGAAATTGTGTAATGATATAAATATTTTGGTATTTTTTTCAAAAGCAATAAAAAATCAGTCCCATTAGAGACCGAAAAGGTCCAGTTAATTTTAAATTAGCTTGGGAATCCCGGTTTATCCGGACTGTACTGTTTCCAGAAAGAGTTCGGATAAACAAATGTCGGTTACATGGCTCTTTGAAGCGACGTTATCTCCTTGCTAGGTATCTGAACGAAGCCTTATCCCGGTATCATGGCTACCACAAGTGTGCAAACGGCCATTACAAGAATCGTGAAATTTTCCCTGTAACCACAATTGTAATGACATTTATATTTTTTATGCTTCTTTGGGAATGCCATTCTAGTCAATTGGGAAAAAGGTTTACTGCTGATTTCGTATTCTCCCGGTGAATTTACGCTTGTTTGTTTAATCAGATTGTTTTGAGATTTGAGACCTATGGAAAAGCACCCGACTCCCCCCTTACATTTTCACTATACAGTCCATGACAGTTGAAATGAAGTAGAAATTCAACGTGACAAACAACGAAATTATGTACCTGTGGGAAGACTTTTAGGGGTCACGACAGTCATCATTTGATTGAAAACATAACGGTCAGTCGGCTGCGAATTCAACGCAATGAATGGTTGTGGCCACCTACAACACTGTCAGCTGTGACTGGTAGCAGCGATAGTTTTGAGAGCCCCGCGAACTGGCTATCGCTGTGAGGAGCTTGTTATGTAAACACAGGCTCGTCTCGGACCTTGTTCTGGCAAGTTATGTAGGAAATAACGAGATATAATTATAATCACTACATACATGTTCAGAGCACAGTATCGACCAGCCTCAATCAAGTCGCACAGTAACCTTACTAGACGCAGGCCTTGCACACTGTAGCCAGTGACCTAGCATCACTGTGTAATGATACAGGTGTATTATTTGAACACATCGACACGTCTGATGATGATCACTGATGCCGTCACTGATCTGATCTTGATGTTCATCATCGCCGGGGTTCATCAAGGGACAGAATGTGTGATATCCCTCGAGGAGGGGAGAGATCGGGTCATTTTCTGGGACATTTTATTTTCGCTAAAACTGGGACATGTTTGTTTTTGGAATGGTTCCTTTCTCGGTGCAAAAGGAGATAAATAGTTGTATAACATTCCGTAGATAAATAGTTGTATAACATTCCGTAAAATGGCCGTACCATACAATGGCGGATAAATCAGTAGATGCCATCTATCAAATTTGAATAATGTGGCTAAAGATACGAACGAACTTTGAAAAGATTTATATTTAACGCCAACTAAAAAACTTTAATAATAAATTCATACTAAAATTATTTATTGGCAGAATTTCTCGTTGTGACATTATAGTAGATAGCCATGCATTGGCTGAAAGGACATGAATAAACATAATCAGAAATAATGTCTAGGGTGAAGGTATCATCAGGGTTCCACAAGCCACAGACAGCCGTGGACACAGCGGGAGATATGGTCAGCTGCCAGACAACACATGGACTTCATACATGCATATAGCTGATAAATTGATAATGTAAGAGGTCAGATGAGACGTCATGGTACATAGTAAATGATTCATGTTATAAGTGGAGACAATGTAGTACAGTGTATTGATTATGTTGAATCATCACTGGATTGCATTGGGAATGTATGGATGTTGTGTAACATTCGAAGCAGTGCACGATTTCCTTCACGACTCGGGTACAGAGGCGCACACAGGGTACATCACACATATACTCCGCGAGACCGATTGACAGCACATATTGTAATACGAACATGCGATTGCCTCGATCTGATCGTTTGAAACCTGTTCTAAATTTTGATTCATTTAAATATTCATCTGAACATATAATTTCACATGAATACCCTTCTGTCTAAGAAACACAATCGTTTTGTCATTTGTAAAAACGTGTCATCTGACATAACGGTTAACATAGAGTACGAAGAAAGAGAGTGCTGCACAGATTACCTGTAACCTTTTGTACTTGCGTACAATGTCAAGGACGGCATGCGGTTACAGATAAACGTGTAACGTTTTTGTTGCGCATAATTTTTAACTCTGAATCACTCACCAACGTAGTCGGATTCAATAAGCAATGTGTGCTTGCATTCAACCCGACGTGCATGTGCATGTATAGCTAGCTATCTAGTAAAGTCATATCCTCTGTGCCTCTGATGACGCAAACACATTTTGCTTATAAATATACAGTCTATATTGGTTATCTGATTTGACAGCGCGTGTTTTATTATAATTAATTTCAATTATTCGACAAAACCTCTTTACAGGAAATGACTTAAGTTTGAAATTATACTAAATAGTGCATGCAGAATCATGTCATTACTATGACCCTCATCCCATGTGATTAGCAACGTGTTTTCCTGATGTTATAATGACCCTCGTAATGTAAAGGCAGGTGAACCCATGGCCACGCTCACATGCTCAATCTTTCATTGAACACAACTTTTAATCGTACATCAATACATCATCCCGAGGCAAGGGAGTTAACTGACTCTAAATGTCCAGTTTCCACCCTTGCCGAGCTTGGCAGGAATTTCTGGGCTCGGTCGTAGCGCCACCAGTGGCTATTACGAGTTATGTCCCTTTTATGCCCCTCTTACTGACCAATTAGATTCAGCCTCTCATATCCCTTGTATTTGCTTCAAACAAAATGGTGGCGCCCAGTCAAGACGACTGATCGATGCCTAAGACATATGCTGTTATGAATCGAGTCCTACCCCGCTAAGAGCATCAAATCACGTGAGCAGCTTGACAAAAAACATGAAACGATTTGGAAAATATGTGTCATCGCCCAGTTGACGGTATACATCTTTTTGTAAATCATGCAGTTAACCCAAATCTGCACGTTTAATCCCATGTTGTTTACGAACCGGATGTCGATTATGTTACGCGATTTTAGACATCGGCACAATTCAATATACATTGGTGTACATGTACTGGCGCAAACCTTCTACACTAAACTATTGACTGAAGTCGGTAATACCTAGTGTGCCACCATGCGGTTCAACAAAAATACGTTATTTACTGGACTTGGTTATGGCCGAGAGGATCTAACATATCGGCATTACAGATGTAGGATTACTTTACGACTGTGTAGAATGGCAAGGTTGCTATTCTGCAAAACATTTCTTTTAATGTTCATGACAGTGAAAACAATTATGTTGAGCCACTGAGACACAACATCATGAAAGGGTGATGGCACTGAATGTGACTTCAAGATTACCTCCTGTCCTGAAAGATGAATTACATTAGCGCTATGGATTTTGGTTGAACGCTACTTACTTTTGCTATGAGGATATAACTCTGTGTTGGTAGAAATAACAAAGACCAATCGATGTGGACAATACGACTTCAAGGATAGGACACTGGCCACTCACACTTACAATAATGACGACAATTATATGTATACCGTTGTTATTATAGGAGAGAGCCAACATGGCACCGGTGTCACTTTTGATGTGAGACAAGATACTCTGGAAATGTGATTGCAATCAGCAGTGTCATGCATACGGACACGACAACCAGCGGGATACCCAAAGTTCATTGTGTGAATAAAAGCTCAGCGGCAATATGGTGACCTGAGTGTACAATTGTGAAGCCTACAATCGTGAGTGAGTAGGGTTTTACGCCCCGTTTAGGGACCGACCATTCCGAGCACACTGATCCACTGATCTAATAATGGTGCATCATTTTCAGCATGCCCCTGTGCTGTGTGGAAATATAGCAATATATAGTAGCAGCAGGTTGGTTGCTTAGCTTGGATCTCTTCCGGTAGGCGCTTCAAAACATGCATTTTTTAAAATTATTATTATATATTAAATAGTCTCTGAACGAAGGAGCCGAACAATCTTGTTCGTAACATCAAACATGTCCAGTGACTATTTAAATGTCCCTGGGTGAAACATGAGACCATGTTAATATCAAATGTTAGGACCCTCATAATATTTCAGCTATATCACGACGAAGTATACAGTCATATGCATACCTTAACTGCTTCATGTTTCTGTTTAAGCTGACTGGTCTAAGATGCGGAGTCGTCGCCACCAATGCAACTTGTTATGTCAAGTATTAAACATGTGCGCTTGTAGGTGGGTCTATATACTTGTACAATTTAACGGATGAGGTATTTACTACAAATTTAGAGATTGTCATGGTTCAGCAAATCGTTTTATTTTATTCACCTCAAACATTTGCCCGAGGCCCGTACGCGTGGCTGATGTTTACGTCGCAGATTGACATATACACCTGTCAGCTTTATAACTTGACGTTCGGTCGCAGGTGTCACCTCACAGAGTTATGAGCATTCAACTCTTGGAATGGATTTTTTTTGTCGCCTTGAAGAGGCTGTCTGAGCTAAGGTTTGTTAATCCGCTTCAGACTGGCACAGAATGCAGACTAGAAACACAGATAATTGGACTCTTAAATCGGAAGCAAGTGTGCTGTAATGATATGTGTAAGTACACCCATACTACTGCTGCTACTACTACTAATAATAATAATAATTTGGATTTGTGTAAGTAAACCTATTGTAAAATTAATAACTACTTCTACTGCTACTACGACTACTACTACTACTACTACTACTACTACCACCACCGCCAACACTACTACTACTACGACTACTACTACTAATAATAATATTTTAATAATAATGATAATAATATAATTTCGAGTGGGAGACTGTTCCATTCAGTAAAACGGTCACAGCGGCAAAGGAAAAGGAGCGATGGCCATTGTAAGTAGTGTTGGTCAACAAGCACATTGTATATAGTTTATGCTCATGTGTTTTATAAAACAGTCTGTATTGCATAGGTTTTGAGAATACATTCGATATAACCATTAACCATGTTATTTGGATGTTTGGAACAAATTCCCTCCCGCAGACGTCTATGTGTGAAATAGGTGAGAAATCGTTACTACTCTCTTGCATAGGATAATTCATGTCATGTAAACGTTATCTAACGTTTGGGTATTCTATAGTGTTGGGCAGACTGACAAGGGATATATGGTGAAGCAATTGTAAGCTTAAAGAGAAATAATCTCCTGGGAGGTATTGATATCAGGATATACTGTCTGCAGACTTGTGAATGGCACACAATCGTTAACATCAGACAGACTATACGGAGTGTGTAGAGAACCCGTAGGTTCTGACAGCCTGTGTAAAATGATATATCCTCTAACATGCTTTGTTACAAACGAGCATAATGCGACCTCCTTTGCGTACGTGTTGGTGTAATTCAACCGAAGGACATACTTCTTGCCTGATTAAAAACACACTAGTCCTTATTGCCAACGATAAACTGTTGTAATAAGTTGGCACTTGTACTTTTTGCAAGATATCAACTGGTCAAAATAAGATACTTCTTGTCAGGGATAAACTGGTTTCAGGAAAATACTTGTTGCTGGAGATAAAATGTTGTCACATGAAAATGCTATTTGCTAGAAATAAACTGGTGTTATAGGAAAATATTTGTTGGTAGAGATAAACTGGCCTCACAGGAAGATATGTTTTGCTTACGACAGACTGGTGTCAAATAAAAAATACGTGTTGCTGGAGATCAACTGGTGTCACTGTAAAACACTTGTTGCTAGAGATAAACTGGTGTCAAAGGACAATACTTGTTGCAAGAAAATAATATTTGTGACAGGAAGATGCATCTTGGGAGATTACTAAAGAGATTACAGAACAAAGAACCATGAGAATGACACATATGTATGGTGACCCGTTATGACATATCTGTACACATATGCACCTGAAATAGTCCATTTAGCGCTATCTGGTGACATACGTGTTGACAGTGATATGTGTATGTGGTTTCTACCTGTCACTGTATTTCCTGGCTGTTGGTTTCAGCATGGATAATACTTAAACTACATTTGATTGTCTTTCACCACTGAGCCAACAGTCACAATTTCATATATTCGGGTTGTGGGGTAGCCTAGTAGTTAAAGCGTCCGTTCGTCACGTTGATACTCGGGGTCATTCCAAACATGGATACAAAGTGTAGAGCCCATATTTGATGTCCCAGTCGTGATATTGCAGAATATTTTTAGAAGCGGCGTAAAACGCGACTCACTTACTCACATAGTTGATACCCACAGGCCATAGATGTGTATCCTTTTCATATTTTCTTTCTACTGGCGTGGGCGTGAATTGTGTGTATGAATAACAAACTGATCTTCGGGCGCTGCAGCCCATGTAGAGCTGTGGCACAGGATCCCTTGAAAGAAGGTTCATATTTGTGATTGTTCATGATTACGGCACTTCATTGTCAGCAACAGAACGATGCTCGCGGCTTAAACATTCACGTTGGGCTTTCGTTCCTAAATGAATGACTTTGGTATGATTGAGCCACTGAAAAACAGTGAAATACAAATCTCTTCCTCACAAACATACAGGGTACGTACGTATAAACACCCCTTTAAAATGTCATATTTATGTCAAATAATAGTTCGTTCTCATAAATTTTCTGAATTTGTGTACGTAGCTTTCCTTCTATGCACTAGGGACAAATACTTCTTCCTACATTGTGTTAATTTTTAATACAAGTTGCAGAAGATATATATAGTATGCCATACAGTAATGATTATTGTTTTGTCAATACGTTGCCATTCAGATACTGTTCGAACTAATACACTTTCCGTAAGAACGTAACTTCGATACATAAATGACGTAGAGATCGCATGAGGAATTGGCTTATTAATACGAGACTTGTTCTTGTCAACAGTGTATTGAATTGTGAAGTCGAGACAGACGAATGAATAAAGCTGCATATTTTAATAGTGGACGTTCTTTTCATAGAGCTTTAACGCGTGGCCCATCTCCATCTTTTTAGGTGATGCAGTGATCATTTCAGGATGCAGCAAATGAGACAGATCCAGACTGCTGTACTTGTCGTCTTCTTCATGGACCAGACACTCTCGACTAAAAACCAGGCCACTTTAGGTAAAAGCCACAAGGTCCATTATGACGAATGGGAGCTTTCGAATAACAATATAGCCTCTTTGGATAACAGCAGGGGGAAGATACAAGGGAGTGGCAAAACGACCAAGTCATGTTAGGTGACAGCATAGCATGGAGGAATAAGAAGGGGGAATTGTGACTTTCATGTTAAAATCAAGCCACGTTTGGTAATAGCAGAGAGGACAATAAGGGAAATGCATATGGCAAGCTTAAAAAAACAACCGAACCAGTTTGGGTAATAGCAGAGAGGAAGATAAGCAGCATGGGAACTTTCAAATAACAGAGGAATATTAATGGGAATGGTCACTCTTAAATAACAAGAAAAACACTTTAGGTAATAGCAGAGAGGAATAGTATTGTGAATGGTCACTCTTAAATAACAAAAAACACTTTAGGTAATAGCAGAGAGGAATATTAATTGGAATGGTCACTCTTAAATAACAACAAAAAAACACTTTAGGTAATAGCAGAGAGGAATAGAGTTGGGAATGGTCACTCTTAAATAACAACAAAAACACTTTAGGTAATAGCAGAGAGGAATATTATTGGGAATGGTCACTCTTAAATAACAACAAAAAACACTTTAGGTAATAGCAGAGAGGAATATTATTGGGAATGGTCACTCTTAAATAACAACAAAAAACACTTTAGGTAATAGCAGAGAGGAATATTATTGGGAATGGTCACTCTTAAATAACAACAAAAAACACTTTAGGTAAAAGCAGAGAGGAATATTAATTGGAATGGTCACTCTTAAATAACAACAAAAAACACTTTAGGTAATAGCAGAGAGGAATAATATTTGGAATGGTCACTCTTAAATAACAACAAAAAACACTTTAGGTAATAGCAGAGAGGAATATTATTCGGAATGGTCACTCTTAAATAACAACAAAAAACACTTTAGGTAATAGCAGAGAGGAATAGTATTGGGAATGGTCACTCTTAAATAACAACAAAAAACACTTTAGGTAATAGCAGAGAGGAATAATATTGGGAATGGTCACTCTTAAATAACAATAAAAAACACTTTAGGTAATAGCAGAGAACAATATTATTGGGAATGGTCACTCTTAAATAACAACAAAAAACACTTTAGGTAATAGCAGAGAGGAATATTATTGGGAATGGTCACTCTTAGATAACAACAAAAACACTTTAGGTAATAGCAGAGAGGAATAGTATTGGGAATGGTCACTCTTAGATAACAACAAAAAACACTTAAGGTAATAGCAGAGAGGACAATAAAGGTATTGGAACTCTCAAACAACAACCAAGCCACTTTAGATAGTGGAAGATGACGGTGAATGAAAAATCTCATAATATTATCGATCCACTTTATGTAATAGCAGAGGGGAAGATAAGGTAGGTTTGACAACAGTGGCATCTTAAAACACAATAAGTACCACCATGTATATATATATATATAAAAGGGTGTGCCTCGGGCAGTTTCGCAAGCCGTCACGCTTAAGCGCACATTAGTGTGCTACATGAGCTTATGGAATGTATATTGCAACTTTAATCAACAAAAATGTAAAATTAAATCCTTGGTCAAGACGGTTACTGGTAATGTAGTCGTACAGAGTCGTATGTATCCTAGTCTTTAAAACATTACAATGTGGACTGTTTTGAAACATGTGACTACATATTTTATCAGGGTAATAGACAGAAAAGGTAGAACTATCAAAGCTTCCTAACATATGAATGATCACCATATATATTTGTAGTTTAGTGACCTCCTCCGTGGTCTAGTGGTAGAGTGTCCGCGCGGAGATCGGAAGGTCCGGGGTTCGATCCCCGGCAGCGTCATACCAAAAGACGTTAAAAGATGGTACTTGTTGTTACCCTGTCTGGCGCTCGGTGCTCGGCTAAAACAAGGACTGGTCGGCTCGGAGTCAGTATACTGTGTCTGAGTGGGGTATTCATGTTAAACTGCGGCATGGTATCTCAGCGAGCTAGCGCTATAAATCGGCATCAGTCCAGTCCAGTACAAGCAGATCACACACACGCACACGTGTATGCACGTCGCTATATAAGTGCAGTAATCTTGGACGCGACGTTAAACCCCATTTCACCTCACGTTGTAGTTCATGTTCGTGTTTCCATGTCTGAGACGTCAACCATCATACAACGAAATTGTAGCTGTATTATACGCATCTTATATTAAGTAGAGATCACAACATATTCTCCTGGGTTAAGAGGCGGAAACAGGACAAAGTGGTAGGAAGATATTCACACCATACACACTCGTGCAAATATAACATTAATATTTTCATTACAAAACCACAAAGACAATTTGAAAAGAGTTTCATTATGGTATGGGGCATTTTCACATTTACTTTCAGGAAATATCAATTAGAATACATTGTTTTTATCTGTCACGATGAGTCGCCTGTACTTCGCACGTATTTCCAAGCGTTATTGCTCCAATCTTATTACTTTAACCTACGACCTATTACTCTCAAGAAGTGACACACATGACAATTACAGTAATCCCCTCAATACACATGGATCGTATTTGGGATCGCATTTGAAAATATGAACTATGGTTCTATTGTTTAAAATGTATCTGTTCATCTGTACGGTATTAATAGAAACTATTCCGTTTTTTTATCCAATTTGTATGAATTTAATATTTCTGATACCAACTAATGTACCAGGATCAGGTGAATGCCTTGTTGTAAAAAATGGGTTTATGTTATGTATTGTGTATCTTAAAAGTGTGGTGGATGCTGACGCAAAACGACATCTTAACATGAATTCAATTTCGCCTTAATATTAATCATGAATACTTATTTTTCAGAAACGTGCAGCCCAGCATCTGACCTGATATTTGTCCTAGATGGTGGCTTATATATTGACTTTGCCAGGGACATCATCATGGATTACAACACTCACCACATACCCGACTATGCAGTCCGTGTTGGACTGGTTCTGTGTGAAGACGATTCCGTGCATTATCTCCCCTTGCAGTCGGGGATGAATGATGTAGCCGATAAATTTGCAAGTATCAGATACATATATACATTGCAGAAACTTAATGTTCATTCAAAGGAACCAATGACACAGGCTCTGATTAACAGACAGATCAACACCTTAACCTTCTTGTCATCATCAAACTCGAGTTGCTTAGCACTAGCACAGGAGATGTTCCTCAATCCAATCAGAGATGATGTGGGTAAGATGGCGATGTTTGTAACAAACGGAGACTGGTGGAATACTACGGATCACGTTGATGATGCTCTCCTTCTGAAGGAGGACAATATTACCCTTGTCACTGTGGCTGTTGGGGTTCAGGATATTGATACGTTAAATGACTTAATGACCATTGCCTCTGGCGAAGGTACATTCGTTGTAGTGAAAGATAAGACGGCACTTAACGTCCTGGCAACCGAGCTCTCAAGAGGAAACTGCCAACGTAAGTATTTTCGTATTGTTAATAAAAGAATTATACGTCTTCAAGTTAAACTAAAATATATTTACTCTGTATACTTCTGTGTGGCTTTACGTTCATAGTACCAATATGAATATGAATATTTTCATATTGCACAAGTCATCAGTGATGTGCTTTTCACCTTTTTCAGCAATAACATTACAACTGAAATATCCAGAGACCAGTTCCAACAATTCCACAACAACAGCTGTACCACGTGGTAGGTATTGACAGAAATGAACAATGTTCTCATAGAAGGCTTAACAATTCCTCGATACAATGAACATACATCGATCATGTGGTACAATATATTAGTGTGCAGTTGCATGTTCATATTTATAAATTATAATTTTTACAATTATTCCCATTAAATTCCAAATTCGCATCCAAATCCAAGGAGAAAAAACTCTTTTCGAAGAAAACACAAGACAAATCTCAAAATCAAACTTACATTCCACACTAACATGTTTGACTTATTTAGACTTATTTAGAAAATAATAACGCTAGAGAGCATTGTAAAACGTGTTAATCTAATAATGGTCAAATCTATTTGTCTGTATGTGTAATTGTTCAACTACAAATGTATCCCCGGAGATCATACCTCTTTCAAATATAATTATTGATAGTGTCCGTGACGTTTACCTGACAAACATCGACACTGGAAACACGGTCTTGGTAGCTAATTAACACCACATGTGAGAAGATTACCTATTAGCTAGGCATTCTGGGAAGTGGATCGTATAGAGAACAACCAAAAAAGAGACATTTCGCAACCTTTTTCAACCTTTTGAAAAACATGGACATTTCTAATCGCACTTTTTTTATATTATAATAATACAATTTGTAAAATAGATTTCATTTTTAATTGATTGGAATTCAAAATATTTTATGCTTTGTGCCAAGGTACAAAATATCTGACTGTGTCAATAATAATTTACCACTATTATTTCCTAACTCCGATCTTATTAATAATATACACGGTAACAAACATTTACAACCTTGATTATATATAAATCACTAAACAATTATCAGTTCTCTTGTATAGTTTGAACAAATGGGATCTATTTTACCTTTGCAGCACCCTGTAACAGACGAAAACTGGGGACAAACACTTACGAACAACTGACATATTACCCTGGCTTCGGATACCTTGTGGATCACAAAGAGACATGTCCGGATAGGAAGCTGTTCATCCAGGATATGTGTGGCTGTATATGAGACTGACATGTACATTGTATCAGTGTGATAATCTCTGTCTTGAAACAGTTCAACCAGGATATGTGTGACTGTATGTGAAACTGACATGGACATCGTGTATAGTGTCGGAGTGATCATCTCAGTGATCAAGCTGTTTAACCAGGACATGTGTGGCTGTATGTGAAACTGACATGGACATTGTGTATAGTGTCGGAGTGATCATGAGACCGACATGTACATTGTGCATAGTGTTGGTATGATCATCTCAGTCATGACGCTCTTCATCAGGATGTGTATGGCTGTATATTAGTGAGTGTGTGAGTGAGTGAGTGAGTGAGTTGGGTTTAACGCCGATTTTAACAGTATTCCAGTTATATCACGATGTGTCAGCTTAATGTGGGAGGAAAGCCCAAAGTGATGCAGGTCTCAGATGTTCACCACTTCGGTGAAACCCACGAGCACGAGTATGGTGCTGACAAACCTAGAAACATAATTGGGGCTAACAGGGATTCGAACCCACAATCATAGGTTTCTGGCGTGCCCAAGGGACGCAACTCTGCACAGCGGATCGCGGCGCCTTAGACGACTGGGCCATTCGTGTCCCCGGCTGTATATATGAGACCAACATGTACTTTGTGTATAGTGTCGATATTATCAGTTATGAAGCTGTCCAACCAGGACATGTGTGGCTATCTTAGAGACTGACATGGACATTGTGTATAGTGTCGGTGTGATCATGACACCGACATGGACATTGTGTATAGTGTCGGAGTGATAAACTCAGTGATCAAGCTGTTTAATCAAGACATGTGTGGCTGTATATGAAACTGACATGGACATTGTGTAAATGTCGGAGTGATCATCTCAGTGATCAAGCTGTTTAACCAGGACATGTGTGGCTGTATATGAAACTGACATGGACATTGTGTATAGTGTCGGAGTGATCATTTCAGTGATCAAGCTGTTTAACCAGGACATGTGTGGCTGTATATGAAACAGACATTGACATTGTGTATATGTCGGATTGATCATCTCAGTGATCAAGCTGTTTAACCAGGACATGTGTGGCTGTATATGAAACTGACATGGACATTGTGTTTAGTGTCGGTGTGATCATGACACCGACATGTACATTGTATATAGTGTCGGTATGATCATAAGACCCACATGTACTTTGTGTACAATGTCGGTGTGCTCATCTCAGTCATGAACCTGTTCAACCAGGACATGTGATCTCAGGCCGACATGTGATCATCTCAGCAATGACGATGTTCCGTCAAGCCGTGCATGTGTGACTGTATGTATCAGAGACCGACGTGTATATTGTGACGGTGTGATCACTTCAGGCAGACTTATTTTATTTGGCCAAATGAATATTTGCCCGACGAGGCTCAGACCCTTGTATTTGACAATCTCCTATCAAGTACACACAAGTGCTGCAATAACGCCATGACCTCGGCGGAGACATGACTGAAACAAGCACTCAGGGCAAATATAACCTGCTAGGCCCAGGACGAAAGGTTCAGTTTGAGGGATTTCATATTTATGTATAATGTATGGTAACTGAATAAATATGAAACTTATGTTTTATACATGACTGTACATACACTTATCATAGTTACCAAGTTACAAGAGTGGATATATTATGACTGTGTAACCATTTGATAGAATATCATACTCTCAAAAGCGTAGTAACAATGTTTTCAAAAGTAAATGTCGTGGATGGAAATTATTCTATGTTGCACCATCACATGAAAATTACGTCTTAAAAAGAGTCACAAAAGAGTATTATTGTCTTTCGAGTTTTTATTATCGATGACCTTCCGATGACCGCAGTTTTCGCGTGCAAGCCATGGAATTTTTCACTGTTTTCTTGGGCAAGTTTATTATGCACATATTTAAAAAAAATCATTCAGAACATAACTGCAGCCGTGGCCATCATGGTGACAGAATTACAATCCAGTTGAGCATCTGTATGATGCCATTGTCAAACAGGACCAGAAAAACTTTATCAATTACGCCAAGCTTCCCCGGAGTATTGGTCTGGCAATGACCTCCGCAGTCTTCGTTCCATGGGCTGGGGTTGTCGTACATACCAATGGCTGACACACGCTGCGCTAGGGTGTAAAACGGCCGTGTCTCAAATGGTGACGTAATCGGCACGTGCAAATACTTCTCCGTTACCGTTTGAAGAGCTTCACTTTAAAATCTACCAAACACACACAGGTCCCACGTATCACTTTTAAAGCCGTAGAGAAATAACAGAATAACTCTCATGAAAATCACATATGCGTCGGTACATGTGATTTAAACAGTATTTTATTTCCATTAATGTTCAGATTTTACATTAAATAGCATTACAAAATGGAAAAAGGATTAGCAAACAGGCCAAAAAGGCCTATATTAATTCGGTACATGTATGTATGGACATATATGATCGTGGTTAATGAAGCATTATCTGATGCACATGTCTCAGCATTATGCAGATTAATATCGTCGAGCCGTTTTGTAATGAACGTCGACTGCGAGTCAAGAAAAACCCACATGCATCACCCACATGCATAACATATGACCAAAGAAGCAACTGAGGGCACGCGAAATATTCAACACATCTATCACTAGTTCAGCCGTTAACACGGTTTAGAAGCGCATAAATACGTGATTGTAAAAGTATCAATTTAGAATCAAATCTAAGTGAAACATGTTATTCGATAATGCCAATTTCGTTTCAATAATTAAAATCTATATTCAATATCTCGCACAGAAGATTTTAGTTACAATTTCAACACGCATGTCTTCAAAATACAGTCCGTTTTAGTTTGAAGAACATAGTGAGTGACTGACGTTTTACGCCGCTTTTAGCACTATTCCAGTAATATCACGGACACACAGAAATTGGCTTCACACATTGTACCCATGTCGGGAATCGAACCCGGGTCTTCGGCGTGGGGAGCGAACGCTTTAACCACTTTGCTAACCGACCGCCCCTCTGACGAACATAAACGTTTGTAGTAGCATGAAGGATAAACAATCATATTTACGGAGATGTGTTTTCTCTTTATGTGGATGTGCAAGACGATGATTTAAAAATGGTTTATTTACATGGCTGGTGCACACGTCCCCATAAGCAGTTTGTCTTCACCTTTATTGCACACAGTCACGTACATAAACGGGAATACAATAAATACTGATATCTTTCATTTCTTTGGGTTGTCATGTACTGTTTATGTATATTTGATCAACAATAAAGAAAATGTAGGGGTTGCCCGTGAGTTAAAGCGTTAAAGTTAATTAAAGAAACTGGCCTTAACTATGACCCAACACATTCCTCCAGAAGATCAGATTGACATAGATACAATCCTATATTAACTTAGACTGTAATGTCCAGTTTCAGTAAAAAGAAGAAGAAAACCAACCCTTATTATCTGAAACTGTATCTCGCATTATTAAACTCGCCTATGTGAAGGACCCGTGACGAAGAATAGGTCTTCAGCAACCCATGCTTGCCGTTAAAGGTGATTATGCTTGTCGTAAGAGGCGTCTAAGAGGCGTCGGGTGGTCAGGCTCGCTGACTTGGTTGATGCATGTCATGATCCCAATTGGGTGGATCGATGCTCATGATGTCAATCACTGGATTGTCCGGTCCAGACTCGATTATTTACAGACCGCCCTCATATAGCCGTAACATTGCTGAGTGCGGCGTTAAACAACAAACATTCAAGCAAGCTTGTGTGAAGAACACTTGACTGTAATAATATGCAATGTGTGACAGGTTAAAACATGTCACGTAATTCAACAATTCTGTAAAACAGTCACGTGAACAATTTGCACGCTGATTACTCATGGTTCGTAATACTTGGTGCCGTGAAGACAGTGATATCCTTATAGCTGTCGAGGCACAGTCAACATGTCGAAGCAAGGTACGTCTAAAAATGTGATCGTATTTACTTTTTAAAGTAATGTATTATTTTGGGTTTTTTAGTACTTTTGTGGCTATTATTACAATCATCGAATATTTTGTCAGAGAATTACTATATTTATTCCCAGTACAAGCATTTAGTTTGAAGCGTCTATCCATAGTATACTGAACAACAAAGGTTCCTGTGACATTGAATAAGATTTAATGTAAAGTAATGTTTTTTACCAAATCTGAAACAATTTCGGTTTGCAACTCCTGTCAGTGTTCAAATGGTTTAATTTGCCATACTGGCTTCAGAAAATGCGTCGTCAGTGAATAGAACTTGTCCCCACTGCATGGCTGTCCAGCGTACGTAGACGCTGTCTGCACCACTGTAGTCGTGCTTGACGGTGGTTTCCTGTCAAAATGGGACGTCTGGCGGGTCTTCTGGCGACAATTCCTGCACATCTGAGGCGGCGACGTACGGTTTGTGAAGATATTCGTCGAAGGCCAGGGATGCTTCTTGAAATCACTGTGGCTGGCTGAAATCGATTTTGTAGGTGTGTCTTCGTAGGTGTGTGTCCAGTTGTCTTGTCGATTATTGGTTACGCGTGGCCTGCCACTCCGAGGATTGTCTCTGACTGCATTCGTCTGTTGCCAACCTTGCCATAAACACCAAATGGTGTTTCTGTGGACGTTAAATTGTCTTGCAACATCACGTTGACTTGATCCTGCTTCAAGCATACGAATGGCTCGCAGATGCTCATTTTCGGACAGGCGTGGCATTTCGTAATGCTGAATAATTGCGTAATTGTGTTGTTTTTCTGAGTGGTTGTTGTCAGCACGATGCTAAACAATGCATGTGGAATCCCGTTAACGCACATGTTTGTATACCCATTCTTGGGTAGTGAAATGCATGGGGCTTGCATAAAAGTCAACTTTGCATGGAATGCATGCTTTTCTGTAGCAGTTGCTTTTTTGTGACTTGATTCCATACATGTACTTCAATATTGAAAACCAAACTTTACTTGTTTGAAAAATACACTAAAATATTGGTGTCACAGGAACTTTTGTTGTTGAGTATACACACCGTCCAAAGGTGCATGCAATATACCTGCCCATGCACGTGTGAAATAAATTAACATTGAGATTCCCGTACAGTTTGCAGTAAAATCGTTCTAAACTTCCGGATAACGAATCAATGTTCATTGTGAATCGTCTTAAAACGTTCCTGAAATAATCATTCAAGAGAGTGGGTTTGATGATTAACGGAATACTAATTGAGGAACTGCTACTTCGTATGCGCATACTTAATAATGAAAGTAATAAATAATATGCAGCATAGTGTAAAAATATGTAAAAATACGAGCTAGCTGCCATGGGACTTTTTTAACCCAACTGCTAGGTTTGGTTGAGCGGCTGGCAAATGGCGGCGACCTGGTCGTGGCGGAGGGCTACCTGTTTGAGTTTGAGAGGAGAGGCTACCTCAAGGCTGGAGCATATGTTCCCGAGGTTGTACTGGAACACCCTGACTTGGTGCAGAGTCTCAGTGAGGAGTTTGTCCATGCAGGCAGCGATGTGGTCCTAGCCTTTACGGTGAACAATAAAATTGGTTATCTTGCATATATTCTGTAAACATAATGTTATCGTATTGTCATCATATATTTGGGATTTTATCGAATTAAAAATAAATTGTTGCAAGGTGTTGTCTTTAAAAAAGATCTGATTAGGCCCAGGTGATTTGAGCTCTTTATTTATGCAAGTTCAAATCTCAAATGACAAGCGTGATTTTTCTAAACCATTGTTCAATTCGGCTCTCATTCACTCAATTAATATCAAGAATGAAATGCTTTGTTCAAATGATGTGTCAGTTACTCTGTTTCACCTCCAGCGTCAGATGACCCTATAGTAGATCACCGTGTTAAGTAATGAAATTCCTTATTATGACCTGATCGTACTACATCGATGATGAGTTTAAAGATCAATAGTTGGATAAAGCTAAACTATCAATAGTATCTAACAAATGTTATATTTAGGATATCACTTTCTTTGTAAGGTACAGATTATCGTACATTTGTGGGTTGAGACCCGTCCGGGATTCGAACCCATAATGCAAGAGTAAGGCACCTAAGCGCCAGCACAACAAAGTTAGCGATTTAACCCACTCAGCCACCGAGGCTTCCACAAAAACGAAAGCCCGACCATTGGTAGTCTAGATCACGTACTTTGTGTACCACTCTGACAAGTGTAAATTGGCACGGCTCCCATGGCAGAAAAAAATATGAACACACAATGTCATTTAGAAAGTGGTTAAATGTAACAAATGTTATATTTTGGATAACACTTTCTTTGTAAAGTACAGATTATCGTGCTTTTGGGGGGTTCTAAGTTGGTTCTCGTACTGAGTGGGTTAGATCGCTGACTCTGAGTGCTGGCGATTAGGTGCCCTCACTCTGGCAGTATGGGTTCGAATCCCGTGCGAGAATCTGTATTTTACAAAGAATGTGTTATCCCAAATATAACATTTGTTACATTTGACCACTTTGTATGTGGCATTGTGCGTTCATATCAATAGTATCGTAAGACGAAATGATTGCATAAACCAAAGGTTCATTACTTCAATATCCAACAATAATAAGGGGGTACCATGTACATGCCTTTAATCGCTCCCAACGTCCCATGCAATATGTTGTTGCATCACGACATAGTGGTCGATTAGCATCGCAATAGTGTTTCCAACAGTAGAAATACCGTTGATAGACAACCATAATCTTGTACCTCTGAAACCCCCCCCCCCCCCCCCCCCAAAACCTTCGACCAGTGCTGGAGGAACCCAAATTGGAACTGATTCGTTTATGTGACGTTCACAATATAAAACAAATTTCCGTGCTTTTCCGTGCACTGAGCTGTTTTCAAAATCGGCCGCCATGTGATATTTTATGCAACAGGTTGTGTCGGTTCATGAACTGAAGTGAAATCATATTGCTACTTCAGTCCTTGGAATATGTCGAATGTGTCCGATTGCATCTTGTATATGTTTCCAGTACTATGGCCACCGAGAAAAGATGAGATTTACTGGAAGAGAGGACCAACTGGAAGCTCTCAATGTCCAGGCGTTGAAGATAGCCCGACAGGTGGCCGACGACACGGGGACGTTGATGGCGGGGAATATCTGCAACACGACTGTCTTCAGACGGGACAGCCAGACGCACATCGAGCAGGCCGAGGCCATGTTTAAAGTAAATATCATGGAGATGTGTAGCTCTACTAATTCAGAGACCGCCTCCATGACCTAGTGGTAGAGCGTCCATCCGGAGAGTGGAAGGTACGGGGATCGATCCCCGGCCGCGTCATACTAAAAGACGTTAAAAAGATGGTCCTATTCATGTTAAACTGTGGCAGGGTATCTCAGTGAGCTAGCACTATAAATCGGCATTAGACCGGACTTGTACAAGCAGCCACACAAACACACACACGTACATGCACCTCGCTATATAATTGCAATAATCTTGGACGCGACGTTAAACCCCATTTCACCTCACCTGTAATTCTGAGCCTCGCACATGTACATGTCGGAGTATTCCCTACTCACAAAGGCCACAAATACATGGCAGTGTTTTACGCTCAGTTGTGAAATACTCTAGTTGATACCTGCTCACGAGCAGAACCAACTTGCTACAGGCACGCTTGGCACTTTTATAGAATACATTCAGTTCGAACATCCGCGGTCCGAACCTCTAAATTGTCGAATTGTGTTACTCAGTACTTTTGATACGCCTTTTGGAAAGGTCGTTTGGTAAAGAATGTGTGTAGCAAAAGTACAAGATTGTCTAATGGTGGTATAAAATAAGTATATGGTACTAATTAACGACCAAATAGCCAAGCAAAATCAGAATTATACAAATTAAATTAATTATTTCCAAAAAGCAGGAACATATCGATGTGGATGTTTCCAGAGGTTATTACATGTATAACAGTTTCGTCATTTGATAAATGTACAAGTATCAGGAAAGGAGATCGCTTCTACTCTAATTATGAAGGAGTCTTATCATGTGTGTTGGTTTCTCAGGAGCAGGTGGAGTGGGCGGTGCAGGGAGGGGCTGACTTCATCCTGGCGGAGACATTCAGCGAGTACCCCGAGGCAAGACTAGCCATCGATTGCATCCAAAAATATGGCCAAGGTACGAGAATGTTAGCGTCTTCAAACCCCCTTCACCAAGCAATGTCACTGTGTACAGACACGCTTCACAAAGCAATGTCACTGTGTGCAGACACGCTTCACAAAGCAATGTCGCTGTTTGCAGACACGCTTCACAACGCAATGCCACTGTGTTCAAAACCGGTTCACAAAGCAATGTCATTGTACAGACCCGCTTCCCAAAGCGATTGCCGAGATTCAAATGTAAGTCAGAGTCGAAATGGAGTTACATGAAGGTTGGGGTGCTACAGGACTATTTCCATTTTGCAGTGCGACAGTAGCGGGACAAATAAATTGCTTCTTTATATACTGTATTGTAATTATCTAAAAGTACAAGATCAGGTCTACTACCAGAATTTCTTAATGGCCGTACATGGACCTATTTCGTAACATTTAAAACGCGTGATTTTTCATAACTCTCTGGTCAGTCATACAATGGATGGACCCGTGATCAAAGCCGCAAGCATGATGAAAATGATTATAAAAAATATGACGAGCCATGCCATTATGTCGTTTAAGGATTGCTGACTGTTCCAAGGCAGGTCATCCACTTACAAGTTGTTGAACAGTCTCTTTAAATTAATTGCACAATCTAACCTTAATATTTACATGAAGAATTGCGATTACGAAAGAGAAGTGTCTGGTCTTTAGCAACAACAAGGGAGCTCTCTCTCACATTTGAGAACAGTGGAACTCATCCAGGCAAAACAGTCAGTAGCATTGCGATTCTGTTCAACACACTGCACGTAAATACTATGCAAGGTTTTCCAAGAGGCCTCTCCTCAAAGAACCGATTCTTGGAAAAGGGTTTTCCTGGTTGACACTCATCTCCGTACCGTACAGCAATACACCACAATCCCAGGCTCTGTCCAACAAACGTTGCAGCTTTAAATAGCAGTTGAATTCCTTGCTTCCATCACGAATCATAACATGCTTCACCAGCAGACCCTGCGACAAATAAGCGCCAAGGTAGAGGGTAACATTCTTTCATGAAGAGCTTCCACATTACTCAGTCTTCGACCTCCAGAACTGATTGGCATATAAACGATTCAGAGAGGACGAGGATGGTGAGCTTATCAGACATGATCCTTCACGCGAGGCAGTCAATCAGCCAAAGTGCAAAGTCAGGCACAGTATAGATATTATTTCGAGCAGGAAGCTCTGAACTCCAGATTTATGTATTATCATTTGGATTAGGATTATTCATGTTGCTGTTCTTGTTCTTTTGAATGTAATTATTCATTTATTATTTACAGTATAATCGTCATTGCAACGATTGGTTTTGTTGTTTAACGCCGCACTCAGCAATATTCCAGCTATATGAGGGCGGTCTGTAAATAATCGAGTCTGGACCAGACAATCCAGTGATTGCTATCATGAGCATCGATCCACGCAATTGGGATCGATGACATGTATCAACCAAGTCAGCGAGCCTGACCACCCGATCCCGTTAGTCGCCTTTTACGACAAGCATAGTCACCTTTTACGGCAAGCATGGGTTGCTGAAGACCTATTCTACCCCGGAATCTTCTCGGGTCTCTTTGCAACGATGTTGTTATTTCACTCGTGTGACTGCATCTGCTCCAGGTATTCCAGCAGTAGTCAACATAGTTCCCCACATTAGTAAGCTCACATTTGACGGACAGACCTTCGGTGCCGCATGTCGTCAGCTGGAGGAGGCAGGAGCGGCAGCTGTAGGCGTCAACTGTTGCCGAGGTCCGGGGTCGATTATCCCTGTGATAAAAGAGATTCGCCAGGCGTGTAAGGTATGAATAGATCTCAAAACTATTCTCTTTGATATAATAATGAGGCCATATTAGTCTGCAGTGTATTCAGATATCCCCGAGACTGCTTCCATTATTGTCTATCTTTATCATTGCCATTATAGGGTCCCATTGCTGCTCTGCCAGTTCCGTACAGGACAACTCCGGACTTCCCATCCATGCAATCACTCCGTGATCCATTCTCAGGTATTATTATGATCTGTTTGTGGTTCGTTTGTTTTGCTATTTTGTGTTAAAAGCTCCCCCTGTGAGGAGAAGCCACTATGGATAACATCAAAGGATTCATTAGCGTCGAATTGCGTAATTGTTTAAAGCATCATATGATGTCGAAGTTAAAGAAGATAGTCACTCTTTTCAATAAATATATTATGAATACAATTTCCATGGCGTCTAAAAGAATGTTCATTATTTCCACTGAAATACAATGTTTTCAAAGAGCAAGTCTCCCTACACAGTTGTAAGCATTGAACGAGCCATGCCACTGTGTCGTTTAAGGAGGGTCGTACGTGCCATGGCAATACTGGGCATCCACTGAAAATGCGTTAAACAGTCTCATTAAATTCATTGCCAATCTACCCTAAATATTTTCATTATTTTTATTATTAGAAGGGAGTTTTGTGATCCCATTTGTTTGGTACTTACTGGCCCACCAGGGCCATTCCATATTTAGGGAGACGTTACAGTGTCATGCTTAATAACAGATAGGCATATTAGTATATGTACAATGTATATCAACTGTCAAGGGACAGAATATATTATCAAGCATTTATTACCTTCATATTCCAAAACAACACCGGCTGATTGCATTGTAGTCGTACAGTATTTTGATTCATGCAAACTACAGTGTTTATTAAAGTATATACATACATCGATGAATGTCGTTTTTTGTCAGGCAAGCAAGCCTTTCCTTATGACCTGCCAGCGTTTGTGTGTGGCCGGTCTGAGATATATGCCTTCGCAAAGGAAGCCAAGGAGATTGGGGTGCAGGTTATAGGCCTGTGTTGCGGGAACAGCGCCCACCATACACGGGAAGTAGCCCAAGCGTACGGCCGCACACCGCCGGCAACAAGATACTCTCCCGACATGAGTCAGCACTACGTGTTTGGGAAGAACAAAGCCTTTTCAGACTACTTTCAGAAGGGCCTCAAGCAAGAATTGGTTTTTGGCGCCTCGGAGTAGTTGGGGCGCTGGGCTGTACTGGCAGTTCCCCTGCTGGAATGCTGCAGCCTTGATGTCTCTGTCATACAAATACTAATACTCTAAAATAATTGCCAGTTTGCTAATATGCAAAGATAAGTGTTAATACTATGCTGTACTATATACTAAGTATATGGAAAAGAAGTATATTAGCTTACAGATTGATCAATCGTCTAACTGAGTACTCAACAAATCACTCTCTCCACTGTACTCCCTATGAAACCGCTGTCAATGTGAATAATTTGGTATGTCGCCACAACTTCTATCAAGAACGCAACGATTGTAAGAATGAATTTGAAGTTGAAATTGATTTAGGTTTCATTGAAGAATATGTGAAATAAGTATGTAAATAAGTCGACCTGATTAAAATTACACTGTGCCTAATATAGTTTTTGGACTTGCATGTGTTTTAAACGTACTTAGATCCCTGAGTAATCAGAATGGGTACATTACATCATTTAAGATTAAATATGCTGGTGGAAAGAAAAAACGATGTATGTGATGTATGTTTGTTATTTTTATCAATTAATAAATTGTTATACATCATTGTTCAATATCTTTATGAATGTTTGCTGACTATTACATAGAAGATATTGTAAGTGAAGATACTGTCGGAAGGCCACTGTTTCTTACTATAGGGCAAATATAGGAATTCTCTTCCATACGAATTTACATGAGTCATTCAATCCGTGAAGATCCGGGTTAGAATAGTTCTTCAGGAAACCATGCTTGTTCTAAGAGGCGACTATGCTTATCGTAAGAGGCAATTAACGGGTCCGGGTGGTCAGAATCGCTGATTTGGTTGATGCATGTCATGAAGTGAGTGGATCGATGCTCATGATATCAATATCTTGATTGTCTGGTCCAGACCCGAATTGTTTACAGACCGCCATCATATGGCTGGAGTTCAGCGTTAAACAATAATCAAACAAACACACAAACATCCATGCGATTGTCACCATGGCAGGCATACTAGTGGATTAGTTTGACGCTGCAGTCAATAACGATACAGTTCTCGCGCACAAAGTATTGGTCCTGATCCAGGAGAAATATCAGGTTCACAGAAAAAAGATCTATGTGTCGGGATAAGAACCATGACATCACATCTGAGTCGGCTTCATTTCTTTGTTTGTTGTAAACCGCTGCATTCCATATTCCAGCGGCTGTAAATAATAGAATTTGGTTGAGGCTAATGAGGGGTAGTTTTCCATCTATACTTTCAAACCAAGAATCCATTCTTGCTCGATCTTCATATGGGTGAATGTTGTTTCCACTCTTAGCTTTTGCTTTGAGTCGACAATGACATATATTCATCAGTGTAGATTTGCCAGGTGTGACGGATCTAAGGAAGTGTCACAGCGGCCGTTTTGGGACAGCCATTGTGTGAATGAACATTTAATTCCAAAGGCTAATTACCCTGTAATTACCAATGCTTTCACTTCATACCCGGATTCTCCACCAACTTTACAATGCATTGGCTGTACGTGTTAGAGACACACGTAATGTTTATAACTATTTTTTGCATATGTCTATATGTAATTTGTCGGTGTACGGTTCTCGGTAGGAAATTACAAGATGGAGTCGAAGGTTTGAGGCAGTTACAAGTTTGCTTTATACAGGTAGATACATGTAGATACAAGAATCAATATGTGCCAGATCAGCACATGGTGATTGTAGTGTTGGTGTCAGTGCCCCGGAGCACCTTGCCCAACCCTAGCTAGGATAAGACCTTATTGTTTGTCTCTGAACAAAGGTGTATGTATCCATGGTCATCGGACACGGATTAAGTTATAAATACAAATAACAGTAATATTGAAGTGGCATAGTTGCACAGCTTATTCAGGATGGCTGACAGTCAATGAACAATACAATTTAGATCAGCATCATTTTTGTGTTTCTAGACATACACATGTCATGGTAATTAGCCTCGGGAGTTAAATGTTCATTCGGATAAAGATTTTCCCAAACCGATCACTCTGACAGAAGCATGAACCAGGCTCCACTTGTGAAAGCAAGGCTAGCTGTCCGACGATCGTAACTCCCATACTTTAACATAGCCATTATACAGTCGTAGAGCAAAGACAAAATTCTGCAATAGGGCCCATGGTATCTATCCATCGTGTTCTGTGATTGTGATTTTAGTTGTACATTATTGTTCTTTTAATTATTTTCGACTTTGTTTTATTGTTGATTATCAATGGTATTGCTGTTGGTACCTACCTGAAAACTGTTGATTTCACAGAAAATATGCCCCCTTACTCCGACAGCATGAAACTCCCTCCTTATTCTAAGGAGGTGACCTGGATTAGGGTGAGATACATGATCAAATATGTCCGTGTGTACAAAAGAAACAGCTGTTCATCTAATCCCTCTCTCAGAATGCCACTCCATTTCCTTTTCACAGCTGTTTTGCCCTTGGCGCCAAGTGGAATCTTTTGGGGATAATCAAGACTGGTTGTTCTTTTGCATTGTCGTTTTGTATTGTCTATACCAAAAGTCAGTCTGGTGGCTCAGTCTCAGTGGGGCATGTACACTAGCCATTTTCTCTGCTGTGCATATGTTGTCCACAAATCACCATCACAATTACGTTTATCTTGTTTAATGCACGTCTTAGTACGCACATCTACAAAGGCCCTAATGAATCCCCAAAGCAGAGCATCCGGTCTACAGCTGGCACAATAATGGTTGATGGTTCGCTAAGTTTGCAATGACCTCGGTGGCGCCCTTGTTTATTATGTCAAAGCACATGTATCAACCATAACCAGTGGCTACACTGTGCTGACAGGATTCACATTTTAGTTGTTTATACGCCTGGCATAAGTACCTGGAATATATCATTCCTCTCAGTTAGAGGAATATATAAGTATCCTAAAGTAGATCACAGATGCACTACAAACGTGTATACCATACTTTGATATAATTGCCTCGTAACGTGTCGGACTGTGAGATATAACTACACCATTCTACAAAAATCAAACAAATAAACACTATAGTAGCGCTGACATTCCGAACGTAAGATTCTATTTGTATGTGTTCATAATTTCCTATCTGACTTCACAAAAGAAAGTCAAAACATGCTCTTGTCTCAGTGAGGCTGATCTGGTCGAGCTCATGTGGTTGTTTCAATAACATCGTTGCACTTGGTTGTTCAAGTACTAGTGTTACATATGATACCTTCACGGAATAAATCCATGTACGTGTAACTTTGATTCTGTATGGTCTGTGCGGATTCAATACCAAGGGTGTACACTTCTTCTTTCTGTCACCAGGATGGGTCGAAGCGAGGATATTCGATCACGGACATGCAGTCAAACACTTACACATTTTCATTTATATATGTATGTATGCGAAAACGTCACTTTCAAGATTAACGTATCTTAACGATCAGAAACAACATTTATGTGTTTATTCGTGCTGGGGAAGTCCAAGGGGTTTCGCTTGGTTTGTGTAAGTTGTTACCTCATTTCAAGAATATGGTCTCGTGGAAACGAATACGTCAGTTTCACGCTCACGTGACCGGCCTAATGAACTTCAGGATAACTTAAATCAGGATTGTTTTAACTGTCGCAAATTATATTAAATCGCGTAGCGTAACGGGGCGATTTTATATTTCATTTACAAACAAATCGTAAAACAATATGTACTTACAAAATAATCAGTGCAACCGGTTCGGAATACCACACCATAGCGCCACATACTCACCGCTGTCTTGTGTTGGGCAGACTTGGAGCCAAGTTCAGCCACAACTCGGTGCCTTTAGGTATTGTTAGGGAATTTGTTGTCCATAAATTTTATTCTCTAGCAGTTTAATCTCATACTTCTATCATGCATTGATTTGATATATGTTATCTCATATATGTATACTAGCTTTTTCATGGTAACTTTGAGTTTCACGCAGTACCGGGATTATCTGGTACTATGTAGATATTTCTCATGTATCTATGTTTTTTGCCATCTTACTAATTGCACATATCTAGTTGTAAAGGTTTAATGGTACCTCTGGGTAGCTTATGTCCAGCCCTTTATTTGGTGCCTACATCACCCATATTGGTTTGCTATTCGTGGCCGGGGCGAACTTATTTTCCCTAGTAAGTAAATTATGGGGCGATTTTAATCTGGTGCTGACGTACTCTGGTATTATTGAGCTGAACTTATCAGCTAGGGTGTTATATGTCATAACCCTTTTCTCAGTAATCAATGATGACTTACTCTGGTATTATTGAGCTGAACTTATCAGCTACATGTAGGGCGTTATATGTCATAACCCTTTTCTCAGTAATCAGTGATTTCCCGGGTTTATCTGCTTTAGGTCAAGTTACTCTTTGGTCAAGTACCTTTTTATTGTAGTGACTCTGTAGCTCATTATGTAGGTCATGTACCTTGTATTTTGGGGGAGTCTTGAATTTCCTTGTTCAGTCCAAGCGACTTTAATCTATAACACTATCGTTTTATATAAGGGACACAATTCGGTGATGGTAAGTGAGTGAGTTGGGTTTAAGGCCGCTTTAACAGTATTCCAGTTAAATCACGGCATGTCAGCTTAGTGTGGGAGGAAAGCCCGAAGTGATGCAGGTCTTAAGACTTCAATGCTGAGTGTTGAGTTAACTGACGTTAATTGCCGTTCACAGCCGGCATCATCTGCTGTCCAAGCATCGTGTCGATTGTCTTGTCAGAGTGTTGATTTAGCTACCTCTTGTAATAGCTGGTAGACGGTTGCTTAGCTGATCAGCTTGTATATTTGTGAATACAAGGTGTTGATAGATTCTGAAACGTAAAAGTTTCATTGTTAGTCTAACAAAACAAAACATTACAAAATTATCATACCGTTTAATTCTTTTTCCATTCAATTCTGAAGGATGCATATATATGAAGCAACTTATGTTCATGATAAATGCATATGACCTGTAATAAAGTCATTAACTGAGCGTCAAGTAAATGACGACAAATACACAGGTAGTGGGTTATACAAGGAAACATGCATGAAAAGAAGAGACTAGTAACTGTTGTATTTTATGCAATTTGCCTGAAAAATAAGGGTCGTTGCTGTTGATCATGGGTATATGAGCTGAATTACATTTATTAATTTCTCTGAAATATATGAAACATTTCTGTCACTGATGAACATAAATCATATATTTGACGAAACATGCGGATTACTAGGCGTGACACATATATCTCTTAGAATATTATTTCTGGAAATGTAGGCATGAGCATATTGATCTCTATGTATACACATATCAAAGTGTTACCACCGTGTCACTGGTGATTGCGGAGATATCGAGTTGGGGTCGGGGTCTTGCCTTCTCATGTTTCCACTTCATCTTCATCGTTTCCATACCGCGGAACTGGCTCGTGTTGGTTTTATGATTTCTTGATGGGTCAAGGGATCTTCGGAATCAGGCAATGTATCGGATGCCATGTTGTCTCACCATAAAGTGGTAATTGATATCCTTTGCGCTGTGTTAAACTGTCGCCGATTACGCTATAATCCAAGGAGGATAACTCTGATCTGTTTAGATCGGAACACGAAGGCCTCATAACGACAT